GTTGCCACCTGCAGGGTGCTCACACCTTTGTGGTATGGCAGGGTCTCAGGGAATCATCAGGGTGAGGCCAGCAGTTTATCAGGCCCAAACAGACCAAGATTTGACTGTGTGAAGGGAGGGCTCTGCACCGGTTGAACATGTAAGGGAAAAATTGCCCCTGTTCTAGAGCCACACAACTCAGTCTGTCCCAGATTCTTCCTGGAGCCCAATCTCAGCAGGGTGGGGCCACCAGGAGTCGGAAGGATGGGGCTAGTGGATCTTCCATGAAGGGGAGGTGTTGGTTGGGCTTGAGAAAAGTGGGAATAACCCTTGTCCCAGAGCCACACAACTCAGTCTGTCCAGGATTCTACCCAGACTTCAGCAGCATGGAGCTACCAGGAGTTGGGAGAGTGTGGCCACTGGGAACCCAGAGAGTGGGGCTAGCAGGTCTCCCATGAAGGGGAGGCACAAGCCAGGTTTGCTGGAAAGTGAGGAGTATGGCTCCTACCCCAAAGCAACACAACTCAGTTACTGACACTCCCTGAGTCTGCCCAGACCTCTATACCCTAGCCCAGGGAGCTGACTCCTTAGCAGGGTGCAAGCTCTGTAGGGAGGAGTGACAGAGAGTCCAGAGGGTGGGGCTATTGCTTTCCCCCAGGCTGATACCTTAAGGAGGGAGTGCTTCACCCAAGACAGATGGCATCTGCGGTGTGGGAGAACTCAGCACAGAGCCACCAACACTAGTCTTTTTCTCACACAACTCTAGTCTGCTCAGCCCTCCCTCCGCGGAGCCCAGGATGAGTTACACTGAACAAGGTTTTGTGTGTTGGCCCTTTAAGAGGGTGCCTATGTCTCTAGCAAACTCCTGTCTCTCCCTAACGGATAGAATGCCTGCTGAATTTCACAACCGGATGTTATGTAGGTGCTTCTTCCCAGTTCTGGTGCTTTGGACTAGGGGTCCTGGCTTGGGGTTTAGACCCCACACTTCTCGGGGGAAATTTTGCAGCTGAGACATCTCTCCCAAATCTCAGCTACCAGCCCTGTTCATGTCTCTGCCTTCTTACCAGTCTCAATGTGGCTTCTTTCTGTAAATTCTTGCTTATAAGACTTCTCTTCAGCTAGTCTTCAGTTGGCTATTCAGGTTTATTGCTCTATCTTTTAGCTGTAATTCTAGTTTGGTCCTGGGAGGAGGTGAGTGTGACATCCACCTACTCTGCTATCATCCCAGATAGATATTATCTTTTTAAAAAGAATGCTTCCAAGAAAGTATTCTTAGAAAGCAACCTTAACAACTCTTACTTCTATATTCCTGGGCCAACTTGCTCTCAATCATTGTTATGTGCTCGTCTCAGTAGAAATAGTTGGACAGTGCTCTGTAAAACAAAGAATGTGGGAAAGGAATCAGAATTCACAGGCAGCATCCTGCAGGCCGAAGGGGACCTTGGCCAAGCCATCTGCTCCTGGCCAACCTGATTAGTAACCGGGAGGGTTTTTTTCCTCATTAGGAGAGGCCTAGGAATGAGTTGAAGAAAAGATGTGCATCTCTATCAATCTGGTGGCTTCAAGGAGCTGTAGCTTATGTGTTTGCACCCCAGGTTCTATGATCAGGGGTGGGAGCACAATAAGAGAGCCTCAGAAAGCAGAGATGGATGGAGAGAGACCAACCCCTGGGGAGATCAATATCTGAGGTGGCTGAGGGACGCTTTCTCATGACTTGGGCCATTTCAGCCTGTTGATAATATTTTTTTTTAAGTGCTGGGGATACTTCAGGAAACAATGTAATGCTCAGAATAAAAATAGATAATAGTGTATATTCTTATAGGAGCTGCTCATGACAGTTGCCAAGAAATCAAGATCAGAGAGATGCCTTGGGGGCTGAGGCCCTGAGGACCCTGAAGACACATTACCTTCAAAAAATTCACCAACACACACATTTTCTTACTTCCTTGCAGAGTCCCCCAAGGGAAAAAGTCAATGAAATCTAGAACAAATCATTCGACTCTTGCCACAGGAAAGTGATGAATCACTAGTATGGCTAAAGGTTTTTCCCCTATTCTCGAAAAGGGATGGAGTTTCCCATCCATTGACTATAGTGGGCATACCAGAGAAAGGTTGGGTGATGCTTTGCTCTTTGAGCTTCAACTTAAATGAGAAGAAAGTTGCAGTACTAAAGACAGGTAGAAGAATATTTTGAGTAAAATTTGAAGGTGGAGAAAGAAAGATCAGGCAAGGAGGGCCTCAGTCAGGGGCAGGTTCTGTCATTGGGTACTATCTGGTTGCACATCGTATAGCTCCTTATTTCTGCCATCTGGTCTTCCAGTTCTTCGGTGTTTAATGTGGAAAGCATGCTGTTGATATAGGATGAAGAGGAGTGCAGAAGCCTTCTTCACACAAGACAGCTAGATACTACCAAGGTCAAGTTGAATTTAGCTATATGTTTAAATTTATTGACATCTCATCATCTCTCTCTAAAAAAAAACCCTCTTGGCTTCATATCTTTTTTAAATCTATCATCTATCTATCTATCTATCTATCTATCTATCTATCTATCATCTATCTATCTATCTATCTATCTGTCTGTCTGTCTGTCTGTCTGTCTATCTATCTATCTATCTATCTATCTATTTATTGATTTCAGAGAGAGGAAGGGAGGAGAGAGAGAGACAGAAACATCCATAATGAGAGAGTCATTGATCGGCTGCCTCCTGCACATCCCCTGCTGGGGATAGAGCCTGCAACCCCGGACATGTGCCCTAACCGGGAATCAAACCATGATCTCCTGGATCATAGGTCTATGCTCAACCGCTGAGCCACACCAGCCGGGGTTGGCCTCATATCTTGACCTCATAGTTATTTATAGTGGATGAGAGGATGTGTGGTTATTTCAAAAGTTCATCAAGTCTAGTTGAGGTCCCAGGGAGCAGGGAGAGGCTGGACTGCAGGGTAAACATGAGAAGAATGGGGTTTTATTTAGATCACTCTTTGTCAGAAATTTGTATACTTCTATGAGTAGTGTTTGTATTCTTGAGCTTAGGATAAGGTCAGGGGTGGGGACCAAACAGCTAGATAAGGTAGAACCCAGGACACTTACCCCGCCCCTTACACACACACACCCTCTAGCTCCATAGAACTGGTTTCTCTCTTGTTGCTGTAATATTTTTGGCAAAAATCAATTCCTTTAAAATTTTTTATTTTCTATGGTACAGGAGAAAGAACCCAAGAAACATAAAATTCCAATTACTTGTGTCTCTTGATTTGCATGTCTAATTCTTGCCAATATCTGTCATCGTTCTGAACCTACTATTTTGTGTTCTAATTTTTCACTCATTACGTTTTTATCTTTCTGTTCCCATGTGTGATAGTTAAGTTGTATTGACTAAAAGCCCCAAATACATAGGACACATACACTGCCATTTTTATTAGCTACCAATTCCTGGCCATCCTCCTACTGCTGGATTTGCAAGGTTAGGATAAATCTTTGCAGTTTTGAATAGGGGTGGCAGTCATCCCTAGACACTTTTTCCTAGAAAAGTATGTGGTCTGAGCCAAGCAGAAACATGCTTCAGCTCCCAAACCGTTGCCAGAGTTTGAAAAGTTCAGGCCCAGAAGAAATGAAATTAGCTGGAAGGTTTTGGTTGCTTACTATTTTATAACAGGTTGTAGGTTTAAAGTCCAAAAGGGCTCGAATTTCTACCCCATGTTTGACGTCTCAGACCTCAATCCGGAGGAGAGCAAGCTGAGCTGACTTTCCTGTGCCCTGGCCCATGGCAGCGATATGAAGGCTCAGGGGCCCCGGCACAGCCCTCCCCACCACGGTGTGTGGGGACTGAGGTACCAGCCACATCGGCATCTGTAGCCACTGAGCTACTTTCTCTGGATCTTCTGGCGTGAATGACGGGTGCCCCTGATGCCCACTCTTGCAGAATAGCAAGTGGGTTAGTCACGGGAGTTGCTGGGAGTGGCAAGAAGAATGAATGGTGAGCAGCAGTGCTGTGTAAGGCCCAGTAGGACTTGCAGAGGCGTAATGGGAACATAGAAAGAAGCACAGACGGACCGGACATAGCCAGAAGCAGCTAAAAGGCTTCTAAGAGCTGGACAACAGGGAGAGTGAAAAAGCCCACAGAGCAGGGACTGGGGTGCCTCACAAGGGCTGGCCTTTTTGTTTCTATGCTTTGCTCTTTTCCTCTTTAAGTCACATCTATAGTTTACATAAAATATACTTCAAGCGTTCAGCTTAAATGGAAGGACCGTCCTTACCTACTTGCAGGCTGAAACTGCCTCTTTATTTGTTACTCTTTCCCCAGCACAACATCCAGGACCAAGTAAGTACTCTGGGGGGCTTTGCTGAAGCGAACCCTCTTCTTACATTCTTCTGAGTTACTGGTAAATCGAGCTTGAGATTCCAGTCCCAAAGTGAAGCCAATACTTTGTTCTTAAATGGAGCCTGGGCAGTACCTTGGTGATTTGCTGCTGGTTTTGTTTGTTTGTTTTAAAGAAAACCCTTTTTAAAAAAATATGTTTTTTGTTGATTTTTGAGAGAGCACAAGGAAGAGAGAGAGTAAGAGAAACATTGATGAGCTGCCTCCCACACGCACCCCAACTGGGGATCGAACCCAAAACCGAGGCATATGCCCTGACCAGGAATCGAACCAGCGACCTTTTGGTGTATGGGACGACTGTCAACCAACTGAGCGACAACAGCCGGAACTGATGCTTGTTTTTTTGTGCTTTGTTTTTCCTTTTCAAATTACTTGATTGTGGTTTGATAGCTTGTATAGGTTGAAAAGTGCAGTTGACTTTATTGACTCTCACCTAGCAAACAGGATGTCTCACATTTAACAGATGCACCTGTAATCCCATTAACCAGCGTAGTTTAAGATGTCTGATGAGTTAATACAAAGCCAAGTAAAATGCCTAATTCTGTTCTCCTTTCCCTGTGTGCTTTTCCAACAGAGCTCTCAATCCCATTGATATAAAGTTCTGAGGACCTCACAGATCGTGCAACAAGAATTCAGTTCAGGTCCTCAGCAGATGGGTGTCGGTATCATCTATTAGCCAGCAGGATGGACAGCACGTCCTTAAATTCCCAGGGGGAGCTGGCAGTGTGTAAGGATGGAGAAGACTGTCAGGAAAATGGAGCTCTACGGAAGGGTGTCCCCGCCCCTGGGGAAAAGGTGGAGTCCAGCCAGATCGCCAATGGGTACTCAGCGGTTCCGAGCCCCAGTGCGGGAGATGACACTCAGCACTCCATCCCGGCTGCCACCACCGCCCTAGTGGCTGAGGCGCACCAAGGGGAACGGGAGACCTGGGGCAAGAAGGTGGATTTTCTCCTGTCGGTCATTGGCTACGCTGTGGACCTGGGCAATGTCTGGCGCTTTCCCTACGTATGCTACCAGAATGGAGGGGGTCAGTATCATGGGCCACAAGCAATCGTTTCTGTCTTGTTTATCTGATATGGGTCTGGGAACATGATTGCTTAGACTTAGAAGCTTATCTAAAAGAAGCCAACACTAAGTCGGCATGTCTGAGGCTCTCTGGGCTATGAAGTTGGATGAACTCTCCCAAACCTGACCTTAGCAGACCTGCAGCATCGTTCATCATCATTAGTGCTCCATTTATTGAAAGCTCGCTTCTCATCCCTGCGTTATCCAAGCTCCACATCTCCACCCAGTGAGATGCGGGGATGGCCAGCAGCGCTGTGCTGAGCTTCTTCACTCCTGCTGGCAGGTTCTGCTACGAGGAGCCCAGAGAGGGGAGATCTATGTAAGGAAAGAATTGGGAGGCAGTTCTAGAGTCCAGACCCTCCTGGGCCTTTGGACCTGTGTGAGATCAAAGAAGGGAGTCAGCTCAGGTCCAGAGTCTTAAGTTACAGTCTGGGCATGATCCAGAGCTAAACCCAGCCACAGCATGACATTAATGCCAACCCCAAGCCATGCATGGATGTGTCTTGTGTCTCTAACAAGAGGGTTAGGTTTTTGAGGCCAGAGACTGTTTCTTGTTTCTCCTTCTACCCTCAAGGCCTCCACAGCAGTGAACTTGTAGATTATGAGAAACAGTAGCCGACTGCAGGCATGGATATGGGAGCCCCAGAGAGAGGAGTGAATAGGTATGGGGCCTCTGGGCCGACATTGGACTTGCTATCAGAATAGGGAAAAGACCAGAGGTGGGAGTCAAATCAGTCGGAATTTATTTTGACAGGAGCTCTGGCAACAGATTTGGGAGGGCAGCCAAAATGAAGTTTTGGGGGAGGGGTAATTCATTTGTGTCCATGGCCTGACACAAAGCTGCCTGTCTTTGCTGCTTTTAAGGGCCATGGTCCATGTAGCTGCAGAGGCAGTTCCTGCTGTGGGGGAGGGGAGCCCAGCACTCCCTGCCTGGGAGGAGCAGAGGTTGGAAGAACCTTATCTCCAGCTTGGGAGGACTCACCTTTAGCCTGAGTGTTACTTAAGGGGCTGGGTCACCAGTGCCATTTCCCCTACACTTGTTCCCTGTGGTGAAGCCAGGCAAGAAAACTCTTTGGACAAATGCCACCAAGAGAACACAACATGGTTCTTATTCTCAATCCAGATTTACCAGAGAGTGTAAGTTAGGTGGGACCTTTCTGAGCTGCACTGACTTCGGGTTTCTAGCTTCAAAGCTCTTTATGGGAGGGTAAGTTGCCTGGGAAAATCACAGGCCACCCATCCTTTGGGCTAAGACTCAGGCTGAAGGTGAGCAACTCTTAACTTGGCATTTCCACGGTCTGCCTCAGTCAGGAGAGCCAGGAGAGACCAGCATGGCAGCTCCACCCTTTCTCAGTCTGTGACAAACTACTCTGTTTAGCCACACCTCCCAAAGTGGCTCCGGAGGGAGCATTCTGGCTCAGTGGGATTATGGAAAACAGTTCACTATCAATAATCAAGTGTCCGGAGTCATGGATAATACGGATGAACAAAGATACTAATTTAGTGAGTCAGATCATTGCAGCTGTTGTACAGGTTGTCACAGGAAATCTGTTCCAAGGGTCCCAAACACTGCTCCATGTACTCTGTCTACTGCTGCTCCTGGCAAATCACCTGGGGAGCTTAACAATTTTTTGTTATAGCCATACCTGGAGCTTCTGCTTCAGGAAGTCTGGGTCAGTGCCTGTTTATAAGCCCACCAGGGATTATGTGGCTAGATGGGTTTGGGGACCTCAGCTGTCCTCACCCCTGTCATTTTATAGGGGAGGAAATACTCAGAGAGGAGAAGTGGCCCCAGGACCTCCAGGCAGTTAGAAGTGGAGCTGGTCTCAGTGCCTGTTCTATTGACCCCCAAACCCAGATTTCTTTCCTTTTGCTCTCTGCCTCCTCCAAAACCTCACTCTCGCTATGCAGCTATGTCTGCTACTGCTCCTGACAAAGCACCAAGAGCAGGGAGCATAGGGTGAGGTCACTCAGCATAAGGTGGCTCCATGACATTCAAGCATCAGTTGGCTCAGAAAATCCCGGTGTGGACCCTGGGGTGCCCATCAGTTGGGCCTTCCTGGGACAGATGTGGGCAGGGAGTAAAACTGTCTTTCATCTGCCTCAGGGGCATTCCTTATCCCTTACACCATCATGGCCATTTTTGGGGGGATCCCTCTCTTCTACATGGAGCTTGCGCTGGGCCAGTACCACCGAAATGGATGTATTTCAATATGGAGGAAAATCTGCCCAATTTTCAAAGGTAACTGAAAGGCATGAGTGGGTGGGTTTTCCAAGGAAGGGATGATTTCCATCAGCAGATGGGGCTGGGGACCTCCTGGAATCAGTTAGGCCTTCGGTAACCCTGGGAGAAAATGATACAATAATTAAGTTTTTGACTGCTCAAGGGGTAAGAAACTGTTAAAGGGAAACAGAATAAATGGCAATTAAAAGTAAACTGAATAGAAAAACTTTAAAGCATTACAGCACACACACACATTTTCTGAAACATGTAACCTTGCAAATCCATGTAAGTCATTGATCACATTGCCACTTTTCCACTGCCACCTGCAGTCTTTGGGGAATGAACTGAATGGCAGCCCCCACACTGCCCCTCCCCAGCTGCAGTGCCCTCCACTGCCCTGTTTCAGTCTCTCCCTGTTGGGCTCCTTTTACGCTGGCCTCCCACAGGGCTGGGCTACACCACCTGCATCATTGCCTTATACACCGCCTTCTACTACAACACCATCATGGCCTGGGCCATCTACTACCTCATCTCCTCCTTCACTGCCCCGCTGCCCTGGACCAGCTGCAGGAACTCCTGGAACACTGGCAACTGCACCAACTACTTCTCGGAGGACAACATCACCTGGACACTCTACTCCACGTCCCCTGCCGAGGAATTTTACACGTAAGTGCCTGGAAGTGAGGGGGTGGTCTGTTGAGGGCAGGACACACCCTTGGGGTTTGGCCCCAGGCTGGTCTGGAGTTGGGGGACTCTATTTTGAGTGCTCCATAACCTGGCCCTCTGTGCCATCTGGTCCTTTCTGATGTGCCATGCCAGGTGGTCCCAATGTGCCCAGGATGATCCTCACCTTCACATTCTAAAACTACTTCCCTGCTCCAAAACCACCTTTCTTCCCAGGCCCTCCTCTCAGCCCGTGTCTTAGCAGCCAGGCCTCTGACAACCTCAGTAGTTTGAAACTATTCACATAGGGTCTGGTTTTATATGTTCACTTCATAAGTGGGATCTACCCTTTGGAAGAAGATGCCTGGAGCAGGGAGTATTCTTTAATGCTGAGATTTCAGGCAATGGCAGCCCAAAGAGAGTGTTCATTTGGGGTGGGGAAGGAGCCCAGCACACATACGAATCCTCATGTGCCCTAAATCCAGTCATGTCTGTCACATTTCCTAGTTGTTCAGGCTGAGCCAGGAAAGGAGAGACCTGAAGGCTGCCTTTAGGCTGAGCGTGTTTCCCGGGGCTGGTCAGCTGAATGTGCTGGTCTCTCCTTCAGGATGGGCAGAGCCAATCCCAGCTCTTGCTGAGGCTTAGTGACCACTTGGTGCTTGCAGCGCAGTGTCCATGTCTTCTCTTGGCACCTCCTCTGGGCATCACCGGCCATGGGCTCAAGTCACTGTTTGGACTATCTCCTGGGCCTCTCTTTCTTTCACTCCAGGCGGCACATCCTGCAGATCCACCGGTCTACAGGACTCCAGGACCTGGGGGGCATCAGCTGGCAGCTGGTCCTCTGCATCATGCTGGTCTTCGCTGTTATCTACTTTAGCATCTGGAAAGGAGTCAAAACATCTGGCAAGGTGAGGAAGACTCTGACTTCTGATCCAGGCCTGCCAAGGGGCCCCAGAGGATCTCAAACTCAGAACTCAGTAGCCCAGACAGCCACAGACATGGGGACATTGTTTCCTTCTACACCAGACACATTCCATGATGCTCAATTTCTCTTCACCAAACATATTAGAAAGCTCTAGAGATGGACCAATCTCAAGAACCATTACATGATTTAAAAAAACATCTTTAACCCGCTGGTAGTGTCGCATCAATAATAGTGGCAATAACTTATTGAAACCCCTTGTGGACCATGTTCGGTGCTTTATATACACTGGCTATTGATTGTTTCCTGCGAGATCCCTTCCGCACTTACAGATGGAGAGTGGGTGTAGAGGTAGGTAGTGCCAGCAAGTGGTGGGCCAGATCCCTGTCTGATTCCAAAGGATGTGTTCTTTCTGCCATACCACCCTGCCTCCTACAATTACAGAAAGGGAAAAAAAGAAAGAAGGAAAGAAAGGTAGATCTCCTTTCTTGGAGGTTTTCAAGAATGAAAGACACCAACATCCATGTGGTGATAACCTGTGTTTCTTCCTCACAGGTGGTATGGGTGACAGCCACCTTCCCTTATGTCATCCTTTTGGTCCTGCTGGTGAGGGGGGCCACCCTCCCTGGAGCCTGGAGGGGTGTTCTCTTCTACTTGAAACCCAACTGGCAGAAACTCCTGGAGACAGAGGTAAGACAATGAGAAAAATGGTGTTCACCTATCCACCATTTTACTAAGTGAAGCTAGTCCTCTGAACAGGGCAGGAGCAACAACTAAAATTCGGGTTCAATGGCAAGTCTGCAATGATGCTTTAAGTCAGAAATACAAGCATGAAAAGTATAGTTGAGGCCCCTGGGTTGGTTTATGATTTTGTGATAGGAAAAGAAACCACATTTTTTGCACCTGGTATGTGGCCATCCCTGGAACGAGCCTTGAGACCTGTTTCTTTGTGTCTGTACATAGCCACATGGAGGCACAAGGGCACTGGCCCTGCTGGCACCTGGCATTGGCCCAGGTGTCAGCCCTCACCCTACCTCTGCTTTGTTCCAGGTGTGGGTGGCTGCTGCCTCTCAGATCTTCTTTTCTCTTGGTCCTGGCTTTGGGGTTCTACTGGCTTTTGCTAGCTACAACAAATTCAACAACAACTGTTATCAGTGAGTATCAAGGGCTCCCAAAGCAAAGCTTAAAGGTGGGGTGAGTGTAAGTCAACTGGTCTGGAGGAAGGTGATTGAACCAATGGCCTCAAACCTGGCTAGGCTCAGGCCATGTTGACACTGTGACCCTCAGGGGTGCCACAGGTCCCTGGCCAATTCACCCATGGCCAGAGCCTCACCCGGGCCACTCTGGAGTTGAGAGAGGCCCCAGGCCACTTCTGTTTTGTGAGTCTCTGTATACTAAAAAAAATAATTAAGAAATTGTAAAGCAGGTTTACAAAAATTGCAACAGACATTAAATGTTTAGATTTAACTTATTGTACTTAACAACACAATTATAATGTGATAATTTGTTTATGTATATATACACAAAAAGTATGATTGAACTATTTTGATCAACACAAAATACCATAATTTTTGTGGCAAAATCTCATTTCAGAAATGTTGATGAAACAGAGAGCATTGCACCAATTATGACTTAAATATCACTCACCTTTAGAGTTGACTTGGTTTTAATGTTCTGTCACAAATGGCAAGGTGCAGCAATCAAATTATGCTCTTCATAAGATAATTATAGAATTTATTATTTTTTTAACAAAAAGAATTCACATGCACCCCAAGCAACATGGCCTTGCATTGGGACACCAGCCAGGAGTCCAATGATGAGCTCTTCTGTTAAAAGGGTATCACTGTGGCAGTCTTGTAACCTCATTTGTACATAATGTCAAAAGTCTAAATCTGAGGACTTCACAAATGTAAGGCCAAGGTCCCCTTCTGGCTCCCATTCCAAACCAGGCCCTGCTTCACAGCAAGCTTTCTTTGATACTGAGAGGTCTGTGCTGTGCTGAATCACAACAGGACCATATTTTAAAACCACCCCTGACCTGCTTCCTCCCTGCCATGCATTATGATAATGGCAGCTTGTGCTTCAAGGCTGATCCAACCAGCCTGAGAGGCTGGGCGCTAGGAGACACCGAGACAGCCTTGAAGTCCCTGTGAGCTCAGCCCGCTCACCCTTGCCACAGCTGGAGGCGGATGCTCCTTAGACCCCTGACTTGGAAATGTCTCAGTNCTTGAAGTCCCTGTGAGCTCAGCCCGCTCACCCTTGCCACAGCTGGAGGCAGATGCTCCTTAGACCCCTGACTTGGAAATGTCTCAGTCCCCTTGGGTTTTCTGCTCCAGAGACGCCCTGGTGACCAGCGTGGTGAACTGCATGACGAGCTTGCTTTCGGGATTTGTCATTTTCACGGTGCTTGGATATATGGCTGAGATGAGGAAGGAAGATGTGTCCGAGGTGGCCAAAGATGCAGGTAGGACCTTGGTTCTGTTTAGGTCCCTTGCTCCCACTGAATTGCTTTGCTGCTCTTTGGATCTTTTCAATATCCTTTTGAATGATTTATAAATGTTTCTTTTAAAATTTTCAAAGATTTTAGAAAAATGTAATGCCTTGGAGAGCTCAACCTTTTCCAGGGGTTCAGGCCATGTGCGGGTGGGGCAGCTCCCTTGGCATCCAGTACCGGGACCTTGAATGCACTGTGGCCCTCTCCCCTCTCCCGCTCTGCCTCAGGCCCCAGCCTCCTCTTCATCGCATATGCAGAAGCTATCGCCAACATGCCGGTGTCCACGTTCTTCGCTATCATCTTCTTCTTGATGTTAATCACGCTGGGCTTGGATAGCACCGTGAGTGAATGTGGAGGAAAATCTCAAACTGGGAGGAGGAAGGGGGAGGGGAAAGAGGAGCCTGTACCCATTCCCTCCCATCCTGGCCACCCCAGGTGGTGTTGGCTGCTCCCCCTGGTGTTCCCCCAGCCCCTGTCCACTCCTCATTGACTGCCCTTACCACCCTTTAGTACCTTAGAGACTCATCAATGGGATGATTGTGTTTATACACAAGCACGGGGGAGCGTCTCAGAAAATGTGAGCTGTTATTATCGTGCACTGAGACTGTCCTTTGACCAGATGGCAGTAGCTAAAGGCCAGGGCAAGGTCACTCTGTGTCTCAGTGCCCTGCAGCCCACATTCAGCTCAGTGCCTTTCACTTAGCGTGGAATGAGTCCCGGCTTTGAGTTGGCTTTTCTGGTGCAACCAAAGTCTCCCCAAGAGACCTCACATTAAAAAGTCCTGTCCATGTGCTATATTTTTCCCCCTTCATGTCCTTAGGGATGGGTTCTAAATGACAGTGTAAACAGAAAAAGATATTTCCAGGGAGGGCTGGTGAGTAGAGGAACTGGTCATGATCAGCTTGACTGGTCACTCAGCATCATAACTCCTCCCTCCTGTTCACTGTCCTAGAAGGTAACAGATTTGTCCCAAAGGCTCCCCGGTGACCATCTGTGTGTCCCTCTCAGTTTGCAGGCTTGGAGGCAGTGGTCACAGCTGTGCTGGATGAGTTTCCACACATCTGGTCCAAGCGCCGGGAGTTGTTTGTGCTCGGTGTGGTCGTTACCTGCTTCTTCGGGTCCCTGCCCACCCTGACTTTTGTGAGTACCACAGCCTCAGTTTTGAGGCAGCTTCCCCAAGGGCAACACTACATGAAGCCGTCCCTTTCCTTCTGTCCCATGCTGTGCCCTGGCTGTGAGGCCAAAGGGAGGGCTTACAAAAAGTCATAACTGCTTATAAAAAATTTGTCATCAAGGGTAAAAAGAAAAGTTGTTTCTGCTGGCATCTGTTGTAGAATCTGTGCAAGGTATCTAGAGGCTCTTTGCATTTTACAGTAGATCCAACTAGATTTCAGACTTGGCAGAATATCTGGAAAAAAAACTAAGATTTGCTTTTCCAGTTTATTCCCAGTCCTTAGGGCTGCTTTCATGGCAATGGTGCCCTCATGTCCTGATGCGCAGAACATCTGGATGCTGGCATCTTATGTTTGTAATGTCACCTTGTCTCCTGAAGAGAACTTGCAATGGTGAAGAAGTCAGAACCTCTCCAGTGGTTTTTTTGTTTGTTTGTTTTTTGGTAACTGAAGCAAACACTGTAAAACAGGCATCAGATAGTATCCACAGGTATCCCAGGCCTGTGTCCTGACTCAGGCATCCTCAAGCTATGACCCCAGTGTCTGTGGAGCTTTGGTGGGGTGGTGAGATCCTGAGCAGGACCCAAAGGTTGTGAGTTAGGACAGACTGTGACCAGTGTGCTTGATGGGTCTGGTAGTATTGTGGACTCTCTCAGATTCAGTCTTTAGGGACCGGGATTCTCCAAGGTAGAGTACACAGTAGGTGTTTGGGAAATTGAAGAAAGTTGATCAAGGCACTTATGAGTTTGTCTCTTAAAACTTAGTGGAGAGAGGAGACAAGAGGAGAGTGTTCCATAGGGAGGAAGAGGTGTCTGATGGGTGGAATCTGGCCCATTCTGAGAAGGCCAGTCCAAGGGATGCTTACACTAAGTCCAAGGTGGGCATTTTCCAGAGTTAGCCTTAGTTAAGGAGCTTCTCTTGGCCCCTATAGTAAAGAGGAGACAATGCCTCAGAGGGCCTTTGACCAGGGTCCTGATCTCCCTTCCAGGGAGGGGCCTATGTGGTGAAGCTGCTGGAGGAGTACGCCACGGGGCCCGCCGTGCTCACTGTCGCCCTGCTAGAAGCGGTTGCTGTGTATTGGTTCTATGGTAAGACACTTCCTTCCACTTTTCTACATCCGCCCAAAGCCCCCAGAATAGAATAGAGAAGGGCTGATTTCGTGCAAGGCCAGGGCAGTGTGCAAGATGTCACCTCCTAGTGGACCTGTAAGATAAGCTCAGCTGAGCACCTTCCTCAGAAACAGGTCCTCATCTCCTCCGCACTCTCTATAGCAGGTTGCCCCTTCCCTTGGGAGGATGTATTTTCCTTCTGAGTTTAGAAGTCTACCAGTGGAGATAGGCTGAAGCATTTCCCTAAGAGCTCATCCACAAAGGATGCTTGAGATACCAGCTGGCTCTAAGAACTGGACAAAACACAAAGAACTAGTGCACAGTGAAAGCATCTGCAGAGTGGACAATATCCCACTGTCATATAGAGTGGCCCTTGATTTAAAATTTGAAAGCCAGAGCTCCCCGTAGAGCCTCAAGGCAGAGTTTAGGAGCTTATCTGCTAGGGAAGAGGGAAGTGTTCCAGTTTGGATTATGGGCCCTAGAAAACCCCTCTGGTCCTGGGACAGAATCCGATACAGTTGAAACTACCAGGAACACAGGGAGCGAGCTGATGTGGGTCCACTGGCAGACGTCCCAGGAGCCCCAGGGTGGGGGTGGGGAGGGCACAGGAAATTGAAGTGAAGACAACCAGGCTCAGAGATGCCACTCTTCATCTTCAAAATCAAGAAGGGATTACTTAATTCTGAAAATGTATTTATTTTCCCAGTTTCTATGATAATAAAGCAGCGTTAGCCTCTTTGTCATTATGCATAATATGAAGAAGGGGTCCTCATATTTCAAGTTGCATGTGAGGCCAGGTTTTTAAAAAGAAGTCGTCCCCCCCATCTCCTCAGCAATTCAGATGACAAAGTTCAAGTGTGTGAATCACTATAGACCTGCCCAAGGTATTGATTCTCAATTTCCCACCAGTCAGAATCTCACTTCTCACCACCATGCCAGTTACTTTTATAGAAGAACCTTGATTGTGATCTGGCGCATGAATGGGCCATACTGTGGTTAAAATTTTCTCTTGGAAGTTTCCAGTACATAGTTACATGGTCAAAGTCAGTCTCTGTCAAGCAGGCTCATCGTTCCTAGACAAAATTTAACTCCCTTTCCTATAGTAACAATAAAATAAAATAGATGCCGAGATCTTAGAAAGGCACTGTGGGCACCAAGAGGCTTTAGGTTTCTCCTCAAATGTCCACGTATCCTTTCACTCTGGAGAAAGAACATTGTTTGCTATGAAATGAAGTTCTGTGACAAGTCGCCCTGTCCCACTTCTAAGCCAGATTGGTGCCCTGAGGCCCTCCCATGAGCAATTTCAGAGCTGCTTCTCTCTCTGAGAATCAAGGGATCGGACAGTCCATGTCCTCTCACAGCCAACCAACCTCTTTCTCCTTCGGCTGATTGTAGGCATCACTCAGTTCTGCAGCGATGTGAAGGAGATGCTGGGCTTCAGCCCTGGATGGTTTTGGAGGATCTGCTGGGTGGTGATCAGCCCTGTGTTTCTCCTGGTGAGTTGTCATTTCCCTCCTCCTTCTGGCCCTGGAGAAAGACCCACTCAAACACTTACAAGAAATAAATTTTATTGAGGTGTAACATATATTCAGAAAAGGGTGCAAAGCCTAAGTGTACATCTCAATGAGATTTTATAAGTTAGGCACACTTTTGTAACCAAAACCATACCAAGAAACAAAGAGAAGACGGGAAGACCCTCTGCGTCCCCTCCCAGTCACTGTGCCCCCCATGGTTAACCACTCTTCTGATTCTAACACCACAGAGTCATCTAGGCCTCAGTCACCCCATTGCTTCCCTCCCCTGCTCAGTGATAATGATAGGTAACATTTACAGAACATGAAGCACCAGGCCAGACTTGGAACAAAACTTACACCCATCACTCTTTTTAAATCCTCACAACAAATCTATGAAGTAGTATAGTTATAATACCATTTTACATTTAAGGAAACTGAATCTTAGAGACAGTAAGTAAAGGGTCCGATGTCACATGAGCAGAAATTTTAACTGTTTTCAGTGAGAGGGTTGGTCTGAATCACCTCACCTGCGGTTACTAGAAGCCGAAGTCCTGACATAGATGGTTATTACCAGTGCTTCTCCATAATTTACCTAAATCCTTTCATTTGTTTTTCAAAGGAAGGGGAGACACTGAATTGGTTCCTGAGGGGAAAAGTTGTGCTCTTTTGTTTACATTTGCATTCCCCAGACAGCGAGGAAATGATGTCAAGGGCTAAAATTTGGGAGAGGCAACTGAGGCACCAAAACTCTCAGTAATCAAGATAAATGCTATTTTAAAGCAATATTTTTAAGGAATAAAAATTAATGCACCAAAAAAAAACCCTGATGGACAAAATATCAACATTTTAAATAGACAGGATCCGACCTTACTCCCAGGACCCTAATCTGGACAAGTCGGATCCTGTCTTTTTAACATACCACACTCAAAAATTATTTACCTTGATTGCTGTTTTGGCACCACCTTAAGAGCTGGGCCAAAGGCGAATACCTCACGTGTGTCACCCTGATCCTGGCTGTGGCTTCTGCTGTTTTCATTTCTGTGCACTGCTGGCTGCCTAGCAGACCCGATGAACTCTTGGTGTGCTGCCCGTGAGTTCCGGTGCCCAGCAAAACCCACGTACAGATCTGGATTCAGACGCATTACTCATAATTCCTGCGATGTTTGCTGTACTCACTTCCCCTGAAGGCGAGTGCTCCAGGGCACGGGGAAAAGGAGGCCATTCTGCCTCCCACTTCTGGATTTACTTTAGATCCCCTGCTCTGGGCTTTTTAAACAATAGTTTATTGATTTTCAGAGAGAGAGGAAGGGAGAAGGAGAGGGAAAGAGAAAGGAGAGAGCACAACATTGACCTGCTGCCTCCTGCATGCCCCCTACCAGGAAGCAAACCAGCAACCTCTTGGTGCATGGGATGGCGCCCAGCCTACTGAGCCACACCAGCCAGGGCCCCTGCTCTGGGCTTTTTAAGGCTGCTTTAGGTAAATGATGCATAGCTTACTAAAAATATTATTTTTCACCGAAGCCAAGTAACAAAAAAATATATATTGTATACGAGCAAGGAGAAGCTGGGACATGCAAAGGGTATCTGAAGGCACACGTCCTGGCTGCAGCGGGAGCCTGAGGTCCCCCTGAACTGGTTGGATTTCATCAGAATGAGACCACTTACAGCAGGGATGGCTCCTAACCAGACCCCCCTTTCCCTGTTCCAGAACTATCTTCCTTACTGGCCAACTCTAGGAGTGAGGAGAGTAAGTCAGGGGAAGGTTTTGCTATTGTCCGGGCTCCTGTTTTGAAAGCTTCCTCCTGGACTTAGACTAACACTGTTTAGAAAATGGATGTGTATTTGACAGTTTCCCACTTTATTACCTGCAGACATAGAAAAAAGATATAAATAGATGTTTAACCACACAAATAATTTATAGTACTGCCTTGTTTATGACTATGAAATAATAAAATTAAATCAAGAGCATTAACAATTTCAGCACAGTGGTTACTAGGTAAAAACCGATATTTACACTCTCTCTGGAAACCAAACTGAAATAAGAAAACTCAGAAACTGGGTGTTGGGAGCACACCATGGAATTTTTCTTGGTCAAAATTCTCACTGAATTTTCAAGTAAAATGTACATTATACTGTTTTTTCCTTCCATTATTTCTTTTATGACGAGGGCCTGTGGCAGGCAGGCATTCATTGTTGAAATGTCTCATGACACAGCAGGCCTCATTGAAACCGCAGGCTAAGGCGCTTCATGCAGCCAGCAGACAGCTTGCGAGAAGGGGGCAGAAGGAACACGTACCCAGGAGCCTTATTATCTCTCCTGGACACAGGTACCTTCCATCTGGCCAAAACCAGCCGCAGCCAAGGGATGCAGGAGGAAATGAAAGCAAAGCAGAGAGGAGTAGGAAGCCTTAGGATTGGCAGTGGCCATGGAGAAGTCACCCACCTTATTGTTGCACCTTCTGATAAGAGGGGCCCAAACCACTTCTGTTGGATGCCAATCTCTTCCCCTTTGCCCTAAAGAGGGTGCTGTGATTCCCTTAAATAACATTCTGAGGCCTTAGCATCCCCACTGAGGAGGTTGAGGTAGGGGTAGATGGTGGGGAGGAAAAATCAACATAAGCACCTGCTATTTTATTTTTGCAGAAAATTAGGCACAAAAATCAGTGAATTTTGTGTCAGAGCTCAACCTAAGATATGTCACATTTTAAGAACTTCCCTAAAGTATCTTAACTTTAAATTTGGTGTTCATGGTGTCAGAATTGTCTCTAGCTGCACAGATATTATTTTTAATGTTTCTTGGAATTTCTGTTTTAGTTTGTCATTTTCAGTTTTTTGATGACCCCACCACAGCTACGACTTTTCCAGTATAATTATCCTTACTGGAGTGTCATCCTGGGTTACTGCATAGGAACCTCGTCTTTCATCTGCATCCCCACGTATATGACTTACCGGCTGATCGTCACTCCAGGGACACTGAAGGAGGTGTGTGCTGGGGGGTGTGTGTGTGTTCAGACTGGTAATTGGGAGAAAGGAGTTTTTGAGTTATGCTCTATTCTCAGGAGATAAGTCCATCCCATGAAATTCACCTTATATATTTATATAACATACACCAGCAGACTCTAATGGCTGCCACTGTCAGGCATTTCCCATAAATCTCAAATACAACAGGGAAGGAGCAAGCCGATCACTTGGGCACATAGTGTGGGGGGGTGTAGCGTCCTAAACTTACCAGATAACTACTTTGCCTCCTGCTTGCCATTGGCACGGACATGAAATCAGTAGTGTTTGGGGCAATACATAAATTTTGATTTAAATGGAAATTATGGTGGGAAATGTCTAACAGCAGTATAATAAGGGCTATTTTAAAAGTCATCACTAAATAAGGATGTTGCAATAACATCGTAGCTTTAGCTCAAGCCATTGGAGTTTAAAAAACAAAAAGTGGCCATTATAGCAAAATTCATTTCAGTAATTAATAATGGGCTGTAAAAATTTTAATCACAGAACCTGACAATTTGTATGAGTGTGTATTTTTCAAAGCGTCTTCGTGTAGATTATCCCATTTTGTTATCAAAATACCTTGTGAGGTGGATGGGCAGGTATTAGTAGCAGACAGTGATATGGAGGCTAAGAATAATACTGCTCAAAATGTCCTATTTCAGTGACTTGTCCAAGGACACACAGTACAGGAAGGCTCAGAATCTAGGTCTTCTGGTTCCTGGTCCAGTGCTTTCACTTTAGGTGCAGTTTCCCCTTTGTCCTCAATTTGCCATCAACAGTTTGCTAAATGTAGAAATTGGTGCTAGAGGTTAGGGAGAGATGAGCTGCCATTTTTGATCCTATGTTGCTAGAGTTAGTAACCTGAGTCACTTACAAGTCTGTGGGTGGGATAGGCTCCAAGGGGGAGAGTGATATTTGGGGAAAGCTGGAAGGGACGGTACTCTACAATGAACTGAGAAATGGGATGGACTGGCCTGTGGGCCTTCAGAAGCAAAACTCAAGCATGAGACCAACTCACTCATCTTCCTAAAACATTTAAAAAGAAACATGAAGCAAGGGAACATGAGGCAGTTAAACATCAGCTCTCTCTGAGCACTGAGCTCATTTCTTTTTCCAGATGGGAAAACTGAATGCTAGGTGAACAGAACTCTGCAAGGAGTTAGTAATTCCCTACACCCAAACCAGTCCTGCCACCACCTTGTTCCTCCCAAAGGGCCTTGGACTCTGGTGTTGCTTGAAGCACATGCTCAGACCTAGAGTCGCTGAATCTGTTTCTTCGGGTTGTCCTTTACCGCAGTCACAATGGTCCACTGGCTCTATTAACTCAAACCTGGAGGCCAAGGTCAGGGGTGGGAACTCGGGTTAATAAATGTCAGTATTCTTTGGTCAAAGACTGCACCTCGAATCTTTGTCATTTTTCTTGCAAATAGTCTCTGTTGGCCACAAGGAAATGTCACCCATTAGTAATAGAGGTAAGGCTGATTGTAGGGCTGTTAGTAATAGAAGCAAGGCTGATTATAGGGCCATTAGCAATAGAGGTAAAGCTGATTGTAGGGCCATTAGTAATAGAGGTAAGGCTGATTGCCATAGGCCACCAGATAGGGAACAGTGGGTTGCCAAGAAGCATACAGCCAGTCAAAGAAGATCGAGAGGGAAAGACTAGTCAGCCATAGCAAGTTGTTCACCTTCTCTGGGCCTTAGTTTCTTCATCTTTAAAATGTGCTCATTGGATTAACATTTCCCAAATGTTAATGTATTTGAAGGAGCAGTAGTTCCATGGGACATCATTGGCATTACTGCTGGGGGAAACAGTTCTAGAGAATGCTGCATTAGGACAAATTAAATAGGTTTCTTTATTGCAGGACTTTGCAAAAGCCTTATATACCCATGTGCATGTTTGATCTCTGAGAGGGGTAAAGCATGCCATGTTTTTTGCCAAGAACACCAAAGGACTATAATTCTTCGTGAATAGCATACTTGATGGTCTGTAACATTCTGTCTATGAGGGAGGAAGACTTCATATGAAATTTTGGTGTGAGTAAAAAAAAAAAGACTAAGAGAAAGGTAAATTTCTTAACTCTTTTGGCCCTGGCCATACACAAGGTTGGAATTTGTGGAGTGAGCCACGACTTGCTTAGCTGTAATTTGGAGGATGTCCCATGCACCTGGCAGCCTGGGAGTCTCAAAATTGGACTTATCAGCTTGATTAGGTCATTCTCAGAAGTCCCTGGTACTCTGCACAAAGATACTGGTCCTTAAGAAGTAAGCGTCCAAAGGTGATCCATTTCTTAGATAATCACCTTGCAGGGCTGGCCAATTTTGAGAGCAATAGTAGTTTGGCAACTGAAATGCTGCCAAAATATGAAAAACGAAGGTGGGCCTGGCATTTGGGGGATCAGCAGCCAGAAAGGCAGCAGACTGGGTGAGTGGGGGCCAGGGCACAAAAGCCAGATATTCTACTTTACAATGTGGTTCATCATGGGCCTTGCCTCCACCATACACCTTAGTGCTCTTCTCTTTCTGCACAACACTTGCGACCAGTTAGAGTGATCTGTGGCCAGTTCCCAATAAGCAAGACATAATTCTGTGTAATCAGGTTACATCTTCGATCAGTTACATACTCATCTGTGGGGATGGATGGTTTGTAAAATTTTGTTTCCTGTGACTTCACATGTCCAGGTAGCTGCTGAGCACTGCAGCAAGTCATTTTTAAATGGGTCTCCAGTGTGAGATTTCAGTATTTGAATATGATGGCCATTAGGAACACAACATGTACAATTCTGTGCATTTCATTAACTATGAGAATGGAACTTTCTGAATTCCATAGGCCCTGCTCCTTAAAGAAGAACAAACTCCCAGAACCAGGAAATAAAAAAAATTGAAGGGGACGACGTACTTTTTCAACCCAAAATAAAAAGAACAAGTAGTAGAGCTTCATCTGAAGTCAATGAATCTAAAGATGCTTTCAGATCTAATTTTGCCTGCTTACCACACAGACAGACTTTTGCCATGAATGGTTTTACTAAGTGACTTAGCAAGGATTCTCCTAAGCCTCTGCAGTGCTGCTGTTTCCCCTGCTCCGCATCCCCGAGCTGCTTCATGTCACCCTGATGCTTTTACAAGGCGGGCTGTGTATGTCACACACAAGCCCAAGCATACTTCAGATCTGCCTTGAAGCTCCCGTGTGCCTCAGCTGACCCTGATGTAAAAATTCTCAGCCTTTTCCCTGTATGAGTACAGCATCAGCATGAGGTTACTTTAGGAGTGATTTCAGTGGTCACATCTTTTTAATTACGTGATGATTTGCACCCTTGTATGGTGGATTCCTTAAATCAGTAACATCCTGGCTGATGCCCATGTGGATTGTGCCTGTAGTGTGTGTGCAGGGCTGAGGGCAGGGGAGGGGGCCAGAGTCCAGCACACACCCTGCTCCCCAAGCCCTGTGTGGCCACACAAAGCCCCCACCTCCACCCGTTCCAGAGAAAAAGATGCATTTTCCCAGGTGGTCAGAGGCATGTTATAGGCCAGCAGAGGTTCTATTGAAGGCTCATCATTTTCTCCCATTAGTGATATAACGACTTTCATAATTAGTTTACAGATGCTTATAGTTCCTAAATATTCCATTTTAATTCACACTTGAGAATGAATAAGGTGGAAATTCCTTTCTTAAGGAAAGTCAATGAGACTATTCCAACTTACTATTAAATGCCATTAAACTGCTTTCAAACTTTGTTTTAATATTAATGTTGAAATATTTTTTCAATATTAAGTTACAAGAATGTTTATAACATCATATTTTCTTCCCAACAGCGTATTGTTAAAAGTATCACTCCAGAAAAACCAACAGAAATTCCCCATGGGGACATCCGCTTGAATGATGCATAAAAGGCTTCGATGAGAGGAAAGTGGCTTTCCAACAACCTCTCCCCCACACCCCAGTTCTGACAAGTCGCACCACCTTGTCCAGTGAATGAGTTTCCAACTAAACCTAACAATGGAAGGCCTTCCTTCACAGAGACACAGTCCCAAAAGACCATGGTGCTCGGACTCTCACGACCTCCAGCCACTTCTTTCTGTGAAATTTCCTGGACATATTACCACATTAGACTCTGTGATGCAGCTGAACTGGACTGCCTTGGATGCAGCAGGGTGTATATGAAGGTGATGAAAACCACCACATAACCAGTTAGGATTAGGTTTAGAATCAAGTCTGTGAACATCTCCTGTACCATTTCCTGTTATGATCATTGGTACTGTGGCAGGATAATAAGAAGCTATGGAAATTCCTTGACAAGTGGAATAAGGGAAACTGAGACAAGATAATTAAACAAGGCCAAACAATTTGAGCAATTTACAGCCAGCTGATGAATCACAAGGTTTTAACTTCCCTAACCAAGGACACTTAGGAGCAAACTGTTTATACATTCCAGACCATCCTAGGACAGACCAGACTCCGCCCCTGTCCCTCCTCAATGACATTCTTTAAAAATAAAACTAACCAGAAAATATCCCTGACCCCTCTATATGAACATTTTGATGAAGGACACACCTGGAAAACTAATGAATATTCTGTTAAGACCCTCACCTGAGACCTCCCCTAGAAGTCCCACCTGCCAAAGAAAGATAAAAAGCCTCAAGACAAAGGACCCACAGTGCACTCTCACTAGAGCACATCCTTGCCTTATATCTCTGCTCTCTTTCTCCTAAACTCTAAGGGTCCCCAAAAGGCTTGCAACCAGGGGAGCAGCAGGCAGCAGCAGCTCGTCCCAGGCTTACCCCCTGAACCTGTCTCCAAGGTCCCCTTTTCTCTGACTTTCCAGTGAGCTAACAACAGCCCCACCTTGGCTCACTTCTATTACTGTGATTTCTATTTCTCAGTGAGCCAAAGCAATCCCACCTAGGCTCTCTCTTGTTGCCTCTTCTACCTTAAGCCCTTCCTTTGTTTCACTGTCCCAGCTTTAATAAACAGACTCTCAAAATCACCGGGACTCCTATTGTAAAATCTTTCCGGCACAAAGTCAAGACCCCACACACTACCAGCCTGCTTGAGGAGACCTGCTCCAGGCCCAGATCCCGTCTGGTAACAGTGCCTGACATCGGTTTGCTTCTAAAGTTTTTACTGTTCATGGATGCATAAACCATGTAGAAGGCAGGGATGCTGTCTTGCTTGCCATATATTTTCTGAGTAACATAGAATTCCATAGCTGTGTCTACTGGAACTCTGTCACCCATGTGCCACTGGGGAGTCAGGAGAGGAAGATGGAAGAAATTAAACTGAAAAATAGTGTGTACAGAGGAGCATGTGTGTCTGTGTGGACTGTTGTTTCAGTGTAGCCTTATCTTTATTCCAATACTTCCGACTCATTACAAACTATATAAATTTCCTCTCATTTTTCTTACATTAACAAATTCTACCTACTCAAATTGGGTGTACGTTATTACTTCAAGGGCATAATTACTACAACAGGCTCTGCCACCTTCAACTTTTCCAGGGACATTACTTGAGCCCACACACCTTCCTTTATGGGCCAGCCTTTAGCATTTGTTAAACTTTATTGCCATCTTTCTGTCTCTCTGCACTAAACATTTAGGATAACGTTCCACAGGCAAATCTAGCCTATTTTGTTAGTCACTGTGGCTTAACTGTGAACTGCTTTGGAGATGGATATTGACAAAGGCATCTTCGGTGTTCAGTGGCTATCCAATTTAAGCTCTGTGTACTCCAAGTAACTTGAGTTTCACCGTTGAGGTTACTTTGCTTTGTGAAAAGAAAAGAGATCCAGTTCTCACTTGTAGGGTACATAGATTTGGCACCGTAACCTAAACCAAGGTCATCCTCAATCCAAAAGTAATTGGAGTGTCTGGGATATCCTTAAAATAAATGCCCTTCCTCCAGCCCCTTGACCCTTCCTTGTTCACTACCAGGATTGTGAGCCCTGCAGATAATTCTCAAGATTGAGTCTAAGTAAAGTTGATTGGAAAAGGGTCAGTTAAATGAATAACCTTTCACAATCCACATATAGCCCTTAATACAGATCAAGTAAGTTGAGCTTCGCTTCAGTGGTGTATGAGTCTCAGATGCACAGGTAAAGAAGCAAACTTTACCTTATGTGAGATTTTCTTATCAAAATCCTAAAGGGCATAAAGCCTAGTCAATGATGAAACAACTCAATTATCTAGCTCCATATCCCTTCAGGCCTATTTATAAATCAAATTTAATTCTAACGACCTCATAGAAAACATGGAAAGAAGATCCACATAAAGGAGGCCTGGTTTCATTCATTTGTAGTTCTTCCTCCCTTGGGATACTTCCCCCACAATCTTCCCTGCCCATCTTCTTGTATTCCCCTTACATTCTTCTATTTCCGAGTCCTTGCTTTTTCCAAGGTATTTTCCTTACAGATGATACTGGCTGAGTTTTCTGAACTATTACAGGACAAAAGGAGGGGGATTTAAAAATATTCCCTACTGACCTACCTTCATTATCTTCAGTCTTTCATTGCTTCTTGCTACCTCATTTCCATTCTCCGTTTTCTAGCATACTTAAAGGCAGCATTCTATTAGGGGCAGCATATTCAGTGGTCAATAGCTTTGCAAATCTTAACAACTTGCTTTATAAAGGTATTTGGATATGGGTTCTCCCCCATCCCACACACACTTATGCATTCTTCAAAGATAACATTTTTTTAAAAAGCACCCTTTCAAACAGAATTAGAGTTTTGCCAAAACAGGTGTTAAGGGAATTATATAGATGTTTGGAAAAGTTTTTAAACCTCACCAGATTTTTAAAAAATTCAAAATCTCCGTTCCACATAGTTTGCACTTACTTGGCCCCTATTTATCAATATTACTATGGATTTTTTTTAAGGAACACTTAGGAGTAGGTAGATGGACTTTAAAATAATCNAGGTAGATGGACTTTAAAATGTGATTGTTTGGTTTTTTGGTGTTGAGTTGTATATGTTCTTTTTAAATTTTAAAGAACTTTTACATCTAACATAGCATTTATATAAAAGTAAAAAATAAAAATGGAATTGAATTGTAAAGTTACTTAAGTACTAGAGTTAATTTTTTTTTGTTGTTTTTAAAACCATAAAACTCCTAGAAGAAAATATAAGCAGTAAAATTTCAAACATTTTTTAAAAATACGTTTTTATTGATTTTAGAGAGTGAGGAAGGGAGAGGGAGAGAGAGAGATGGAAACCTGGATGAGAGAGAAACATCAACATCAGTCTGCTTCCTGCATGCCCCCTGCTGGGGATGGAGCCCAAAACCTGGGCATGTGCCCTGACAGGAAATCGAACCAGCAACCTCCTGGTGCATGGGTCAAGGCTCAACCACTGAGCCATACCTGCCAGGCATCAAACATTTTTCATAGCTATATTTTTTTCTGATATATCTCCTCATGCAAGGGGAAACAAAGGAAAAAATAAACAAATGAGACTACATCAAACTAAAAAGGTGTTGCACAGCAAAGGAAACCATCAACAAAATGAAAACACAACCCACTGAATGGGAGAACATATTCACCAATGATACATCGGAGAGGGGGTTAATATCAAAAATTTAAAAAGAACATATACAACTCAACACCAAAAAACCAAACAATCACATTTTAAAATGGGCAAAGGACCTGAACAGACACTTCTCCAAAGAGGACATGCAAATGGGCAATAGACATATGAAAAGATACTCAATTTAATCACCTGAGAAATGCAAATTAAAACCACAATGAGATATCACCTCACACCTGTCAGAATGGCTGTCATCAATCAATCAACAAAAATAAGTGCTGGTGAAGATGTGGAGTAAAGGGAACCCTCATGCACTGTTGGTGGAACTGCATATTGGTGCAGCCACTGTGGGAATATATATTTCACTTCTGAGGCTATACCTAAAGAAATCCAAAACACTAATTCGAAAGAATATATGCATCCTTATGTTCATTGCAGTGTTATTTACAATAGTCCAGATTTGGAAGCAGCCCAAGCGCCCATCAGTGCATGAGTGGATAAAAAAGCCTTGGTACAGTCACAATGGATTACTACTCAGCCATAAAAAAAAAAGGAAATCTTAGGTTTTGTGACAGCACGGGTTGACCTGGAGAGCATTATGCTAAGTGCAATAAGCCAGGCAGAGAAAGACAAGCATATATGATTTCACCTATATGTGGAATCTAATGAACAGTATAAACCAACAAACAAAATAGAAGCAGGCTCATAGATCCAGAGAACAGACTGACAGCTGTCAGAGGGGAGGGGGTTGGGGGGCTGGGTGAAAAAGGCGAAAGGATTAAGAAAAGAAAAACTCACAGACACAGACAACAGTGAGGAATATGATGTATCCTCAAGGTGAGACACAGTCACATAGGTACATGAATGACATTCATGCTTGACTCTAGAAGAAAGAAAAAGCCTCCGAAATCCTTAAGAAGAGTCAGTAGCTGTGAACGAGGCCTGGGAATGAGAACGGGGGTGGACCTGGCTACAGAAAAGTAGCAGGAGGCTGAACAGTGATCCAGGTGAGGGCCGAGGCTGGAGTGAGAGCAGGGCGAAGGTGGAAATATTACAAAGGAGAATTTTGTTGGCAGATTGACTCTGAGGACAGAAGAGAAGGGAGAAGGTGAAGATGACACACAGGCCAGGAATTGTCCCTCCTGACTACTGGCTATTGTAATGTTCTCACCGACCAGGGACTTGGACTAATACAAAGAGGCTGTTTTCTTCTAAGCTATTCTCCTAATAATACAGAGGCTACACTCCAGGCTAATTTGATATGTAAAATATTGAGTTTACTGAATAGATAAAACAGGGAACTGATTTGTCTCACAGAAAGTGAAGTCTTGAGCTCTAGCCTTTGCCCGTTTGCTCGAGTCACA